GATGGTGTCTTGTAGTAAAGCATTTGTGGGACTGAAGCACGAGCTGGACCATTAGTTCTTGTCGATAGAACATTACTGCTGCATGGAGGGTCTGAACATGGTTATGCATGCTTGGGGATTCTCAGCAGATGGATTCTAAAAATGAGCAAAGTTGTCTCTTCCTGCGAAGGAACAAGGAAAGGGGCTCATGGTGTTTGTCCATGTGGCTTTGACACTGCAGAGTCAAGTATGCTATCATTGACTTGGAAGAAGTTCCTGACTCACCAAACAAACCAACATTTCTCCAAAGTCCAGTGCTTGGAGCTAGAAGCAGGCTAAGAGAGCTGGGTGTATTGGCTCATGCCTTTAGATTCCAGTGCTTGGGAGGTGGATCATTTTGTGTTCAAGGCTATCCTGGTCTACATTGTGAGTTCCAGGGCAGCCTGAGCTACATAGTGAGACCCTGTCTTGAAAATACCCTCCCATGTGTTAGGTAGGCCAGCAGGCAGGAGTGTGGCAAGGTGTGTAGTGATGACGTTAGATCCTCCACGGAGCTGGCCTTTGACACGGATTAAAGGGGCTGGGAGATGGCTCAGCTGTACTACAAAGTACTTGGCATGCATGCATGAGGACCAGTCGAGTTCAGATCTCCAGAAACCACCAAGCGTGCTGCTGATTGTCTGTGTGCAAAGTTCTGTGCTGGGGAGGAGGCTGGGTGTGTATGTTTTGGGGGTGGGGCTAGAAGGACACAAAAGGAGATCCCTGAAATCACTGGCCAGCCAGCCTAGCAGGATTGATGAGCTTCAGGCTAGGTGAGAGATTCCCTCTCAAAAATGAAAAGTAGAGAGGGCTGGAGGAAAGATATCCAACCTCAACATCTGGTCTCCACACACGTGTGCATTCATACATATGGGCATCCTGGCACTAATAAGTCCAGGCATTGCGCGCGTGCGTGCACACACACACACACACACACACACAGACACGTTAAAGGTCAGTTAAACTTTGAACTTCAGAGAACTAAGATACATATCTGGAAACACCCACTCGTCCCACCACTCTGCTGTGGGAGTTTGCCTTTTCTGCAGCTACTTCAGTGAAATCTCAAGACAGACTGAGTGTGGAAGCAAGTATGAGAATCAGCTGATGTCTGACAACAGACTCCTCTCACTATGTGATTTCTGTTTTTGCTTTGGCAAACACAGTTTCTTTCATAAATGCGTGTATGCTAACATCATTAAATGAATTAATAAGAATAAACATCTCTTTAATAATTTTAGCAATATTTAAGAGAGTAGATATTGATGGATGATATTATTCACATATACGTTTCAGTCCACAGTTTTTTGGTGTGTGTTTTTCAAGACAGAAATGCCATGCCCGAGTCCTAGGACACCCAAGAAGACCACTATAGAGCCACACTTCCGAATGCAAAAGCAAGGTTTCATTTAAGTACGGGCTAGCATGGGCCCTCTGCCTCACAGTCTGACACAGCAAAGAGAGGGAGAAGGACCCTGTCTATTGTAAGTGGTTTATAAAGACAAAAATTACAAGACAGTCACAAGATTACCATCTCAAAATACAGAATTACTTATCCTATATCACAATTGGCTAAAGGGTAGGTAAAGCTCAGCTGTTAGTACCTGATAGGCTATTATTATCTAAAAGGGATAGCAACAGCCCTGCTGGTTACTTCCACCAGACATCTGCTGACCCTTTGCTAACTGCAGGGGCTGCTTTCTGATAGGGGAAGTTGGGTGGTCAGCATTCTCTGTATGACTACGGGTGGGGGGAAATGGGCTGCAGTCAGTAACTTTGTGTAACTTAGGTTTCCTCGTTAGTTAATATTTCCCCTAAAGAGGGGTCCTGCAGCCTTCAGCTTATCTTGGTGGCTGGGGTTGTAGTTCAAAGTCCCAAAAGGGCCCAGCACAGAAATGGGATCTTTTCTAGCCCTTCAGAAACTTGTCCTGAAACTTGCTTTGTAGATCAGGCTGGCCTTGAACAAATAGGTCTGCTCGCCTCTGCCTCTAAGAGTGCTGGGATTAATGGCGTAGGCCACCACACCCAGCTTTCAGTCCAAGGTTTTTAAGAACAGAAAGGAGGTCGGGTGTGGTTGCACACACCTTTAATCCCAACACTTGGGAGGCTGACAGATCTCTGTGACTGCCAGGCCCTACAGGGCTGCACAGTGAGACCCTGTCTCAAAATAAAATAAAATAAAATAAAATATAAAAAAATAAAATAAAGGAATCTTGAAACTGGGCATTTCGAGGGCTGCTGCCTTGAGTCTAGTCATGCTCACACAACAGCAGACACGTGAGGCATGCATCCGCAGGTAATTTTATCACTCACCTAGCTGGTTACAACATCCCTTCGCTGTATTATCTTATGGAGTTGCCATTGCCTGTGTGGCCTACTGTGGAGCCAAATGGCTTTATGCAGCACGAAGCTCTGTCAAGATGGACCAGGCAGGAATGACAGTAGAATAAGGCAGTAGTCTTTCCTTGGAAAAGCAGCTGTGTGAATAGAAGTTTCTGTGGCTCTGACTGATGTCTGACTGGTGTGTTAAAGCTATCCCCTGATAGATCCTCCAGCTGGAGGGCAGGGCAGCAGGCACATACATCCCAGAGCAGGACAGTCCTGCCAGCCTGTGGCATGAACGGAGGGCCAAAGAGGGCTTCTAGTGGATTAGGAAGAGCCAGCACAGGTCCATGCTGCCCACAGTGCCAGGGTAAAACACTTGGCCTTTTAGCGAAGAACCCACAGGGTGCCTTCTGATGTCTTCCTGGAGGGGAATGATGGGACCTTCGGTGTCCCAGAGTTTGCTCTTTCTTGACCCTTTTAACTGTTGCAATTCATTCTTTTTCTTCTGAGAATTGCAATTTGTCCTTGAGTTTCAGCACCCTGGGGAATCCAGTGGCCTCAGGGCTTCTTCCTTCTCCATTTGATAAAGTGACTCAAAAGTGAGTTCTTGCCAGGCGTTGGTGGCGCACGCCTTTAATCCCAGCACTCGGGAGGCAGAGGCAGGCGGATCTCTGTGAGTTCGAGACCAGCCTGGTCTACAAGAGCTAGTTCCAGGACAGGCTCCAAAACCACAGAGAAACACTGTCTCGGACCCCCCCCCCCCCCAAAAAAAAAGTGAGTTCTTACCTGGTCTTGGCTGCAGGGGAGGATTTTGTTTTCAACAACATTCCTCTTGGGGTGGTTGAGGAAGTCTCAGACATTCCCTATAATGTGGATAACCTGGAGCAGTGTGCCCGTGACGGGAAGGCTGTCTTCCAGGCTCATTTATGAGTGGCCTGGAATGAAGGATCCCCTCTGCCCCACCAGCAGCCACCAGAATTCTAATCGCCTTAACTTTTCATACTATCCCCCCCACCCCCATGATTTATAAGGGTATGAAACGCTTTCTCAAGCTAGTATCCTTTTACTGCACACTCATGAAACGTAATTTGACGTATCTCAACCTGTGTTCTTGGGTCAAAGGCACTCACACTTGGAGGAAAGCAATTTTACTTATTACAGAACAAAATGTCCTAAATTAAGGCACTTTTTTTGTTTTGCTTTTCAAGACAGGGTTTCTCTGCAGCTTTGAAGCCTGTCCTGGAACTAGCTCTTTTAGACCAGGCTGGCCTTGAACTCACTGAGATCCACCTGCCTCTGCTTCCCAAGTGCTGGGATTAAAGGTGTGTGCCACCAACGCCTGGCTCAAGGCACTTTTTTAAACCCACTGGTGGCAACATCCGGTAGGTGGTTTACCACAAAGCAGAGATATCTTCGCTATGTTTCGGATACTGATGACAGCCTTAGCTTTAGGATTGGTGAGAGTCTGCTAAACTAATATATTCTGAAAGGATTTACCTGATAAGTCATGTTAGGTTAAACACAGTGGAGGATAAAAGGTGACTATTACAGAGACTTATGTGTAGTGATATTTCATTTGTATTTTAATAAATAAAGCTTGCCTCAAAATCAGAGAGTAAAACAGCCCCCCGCCCGGTCAGCCTTATAGACCAGGCAATGGTGACACATCCCTATAATCCCAGTAGCCACACTAGTTTGCTAAAGAAACCAGGCGGTAGTGGTGCATGCCTTTAATCCCAGCCCTAGAGAAGAATATAAAATGGGAGGAGACAGCTCTCAGGCTCATTTTGAGATTCCTGGAGACAGGATCGCCATTTCAGACTGAGGCAGAGGTAAGAGTCAGTGGTTGGCTGCTTTGCTTTTCTGACCTTCAAGCTGAACCCCAATATCTGTCTCCGGGTTTTTATTAATTGTGCTACACTTATGATTTAAGATAGATTTAAATTCATCTTTGGTTCTGCAACACCCCAACTCTGCACGATTCCAAGTTCAGTTGTCTGTATGGGTATGACTCCTTTTTTTTTTTTTTTTTTTTTTGGCAGGGTGGTGATCTTCAGGGCACAGTGCAGACACAGGTGTGTGTCCCAACCTCTTAACTTCCTAGACAAGGCAAGCATCCACTGTTAGCTAGCTGGTAGTGAAGGCGAGGACGAGGAGGAGGGAGGTTAATGCTCATTTGGGGTCATGGAAGCACTGAGAACAGGGTTTTCTCTAAATGAGCCATCTAAAGGATGTGGGAGTCAAATAGAGGCTGCTCACAGCTTACTAAATATTGTCAGGTCTCTCCCCCCCCCCATCTGTTTTCCCAGCCTGGGGTCATTCCAGAGATAACATCTGAAGTGTTAGCACAGGTGGCCAGTGCTTGGCTATTTAGTCTGGGACTTGCTTGTCCCCTCAGATGGTTTGTGCACAGGTTGATAGCCTGTAGTAAGCTCCCACCACCTGGTGGCCAGTTTTTGGTTTGGGTTTGTCATTGTCGTTGTTGTTTGGTGCTTGTTGGTTGTGCATTAACCGCCAGTATAGCTTGGCATCTGGTTTAGCTTCAGCATTACCCCAGGTTAGGCTTTGTGTGAACATTTACCCCTCTGTCCCTGGGCCTGACTCCACGTAGGCCCTTACTGGCTTCCTATGGACAAGTCAGGGGTTCAGTCTTGCGCATTCCCGAATTGCTCGCGAACTGGCAGCTGGGATGTGATTTCAGGAGAGCAGCTTTTTCCAGGGGCTGATGGATGTAAGGTTGGTAATGGACTCTTGTCCTTCCCTTCTCCCAGGCTATCAGCAGGGCAGATGCTGGTCCTCGGGATGCTGAAATGGGTGGTCAGTGGGACAGCACAGAGCAAAGCCTCCGGCCGCTGGAAGCTTGTTTTGCCCTTGCGGTTTCTAGGCAGCTCCCCTTGTCGAATCCCAGCAGATGACAGCTTCCACTCCACCTCGCTCTCCGAAACAGAGCCTCCGCGGGTCTTCATCACAGGTTGGTTTGTCCCCTCCTCATTAGTGGCATGAGCCTCGTTGTCTCTGCTTCTTGCAATGTGCTTCCCGGGGACCATCAGGACTGGGTCTAGTGGTTGCCCTGTAAAAAGGGGTCTCTGAGTGAGGCATGCCATCACAAATAGCTTTTTATTGGATTGGCAACCCTTTTCTGATTAGACACAGCCTTTTTTGAGAAGCTCTGGGTTTGGATTCAAAGAAATTGTTCTTTGGGGGTAAAGTATTTATTAGAAGATTCATTCACACTGTTGACAAAGAGACGAAGGCATAGCAGGGGCTCTGAGGAAAGTTCTGGCACAAATGGCAGAGTGGTTTCAGAGGATGGACGGAGTCTATGTCTTGTGGTTAAGCAGCCTGACGCACATGCCTGCAGTCCAGGTCTCTTAATCATGAGGGTGAGGGGAGCAGGAATCCAGAAAAACAAGTGACTTTAATTCTGGAAACCAACAATTACTGTCATCTTGTTACCGTGTAAGGGTCTGGATGGGGTTCATTTTCTCTGCTATTAAAGAATTAAAAGGCAGGGAAATGCTCGAGCTTGCCAGGTAGCAACGGAGACATCTCAAACAGCAGACTGAAGTTAGCGGACAGAACCGGCAATTGCAAAGGCTTTTTCTTAGGGGCGAGGAAACACACATACAGCAGGCACACAGAGGAAAAAACCCTCTGCAAAGTCAGGGTGAGGGGTGATGTGGACAGAAGAGGAACTGAGGAAGCCGAATATCTGGTCTCTTCTGGAGGGCTGGGGATTTTAAAGGTTCTGAGAAGTTTTCCTTCTCTAATTTAGGATTGGTCAGTTTGAAGAAAGACAGGCTAATGGGCTCACAACAGCTGTGTGACATGTTCTGATCCAGCCTTGAATTTGTTGAGTCCGTCCATCTTAGGGACCCTGCTGGTGGAAGGAGCTCACAAGGCCTTTGTTTTAAGCTGTTGGGCTTTTGTCTGAGATTATGAGGGCAAGGAAGAAGCCAGCCTTCTTGGAACTTCCCCATCTTTGTTACCTAGCACTGGCCTCTTTCCCTGTATGCCTGCTGACCTGGGAGTCTATCGAATGCCTAGTCTCTAGTTTCTGAAATTAGCAGCTCAAGTAAAATGGAGGACCATTACAAGATAGTGTAGTTCTGGCTGACATCTTCCGTCTTATTAATAACCATTGCCTATGTTTCTTTTCTCTAACAAAACCTTGTTTTCTGAAGGGACCTAGGGATGCTGAGCTGTTGTATAACGGTTTACTCTTTTGACCTTTTGAGGGGCCCACCACACAGCTCCCAAAGAAATCACACACAGACACTTATTCTTAGTTATGAATGCCTGGCCTTAGCTTGACTTGTTTCTTGCCAGCTTCTCTTAAATTATCTTGACTCCCTTTTGTCTCTGGGCTTTTATCTTTCTCTATTGCTGTATACCTTTCTTCACTGCTTTCTCTGTGGCTTGCTGTGTAACTGGGTGGCTGTCCCTGATGTCCTCCTCTCCTTGTTCTCAAGCTCCTTCTTTTCCTTGTTTCTCCATTTATCCTCTCTACCTCCCAGCCCCACCTATCCTTGCTCCTGCCTCACTATTGGCTGTTCAGCTCTTTATTAGGACCATCAGGTGTTTTAGACAGGCAAAGAATCACAGCTTCACAGAGTTAAACAAATGAAGCATAAACAAAAGCAGCACACCTTAACATAACAGTCCCCAGCATGGGGCCAAATAGCTATCCTGGAACTTGAGTTCCTTCCACATTATGGGTAATAGGTCATGGCAACAAAACTGAGTGGATAGGAAGGGTGGGAGTTCTAGAACTCATCTTTCTCCTCAGCACGTCTTTCCTTGACCGGGTTCCCCAGCCTAAGCCCAGACTCGCCCATCACACACTATTACTGAGCTCGGTATACTGGAAATATGATGGGATGTGAGCACTGCCCGAGCTTCTTGTCGCTGTTGAGCTTATCACCAGCAGCTCCACTCCCTGATCTGCCTTTTCTGGAATGTGCAGTGCCTGGCCCCACCCCCTGCACTGTGCATTCCACCTTGTCACTGACAGAGTGCCCCCAAGCAGCCCAACCTCTCACTTGATGGGCACGTTCTATTTTCCCCTCCTTGTCATGTTTTCACTTCTTTCTTGTCTTGCTCTCTGTGTGTTTGCTTCATTCTCTTTTCAAAAAATCATCTCTAGGGTTTTAGTGGAAGTCCCACTGATCTAGCTTCCTGCCACATGAGTGTCTCACATGAAATTTATAGTGGTCCTCCTCCAAATGTGTTCCTAGCCCCTTGGCTCTGGCTTCCTACCCGTACTGTCTTTAAGACTCCAGGTTAGGAAGCTAGTATCATTTCTTTCGTAGTGGCTCCTCTTTGGTTCTGTTCTATTGTTTGTCTACTCTGTTTTGAGGTAGGGTCTCTCTACTACTACGTAGCTCTGGCTGTGTCCCAGGCTGGCCTCGAACTCAAAAGACCCACCTACCTCTGCCTCCCAAGTGCTGGGTTTAAAGGTGTGTATTACCATACCAGCTTGTCCTATCGTTTGGTCAAATGGTTTCTTGCTCTCTCTTCTTTGGAGCTGGGCTCAGCATTAGTGTTATTTTTCTGCTTATGCCCTTGCTTTTTTTCCTCTTGGGCACCCCTTACCAGAAAGTGCTGCCTCAAACCGTCATGTGCATTGATGCTGTCTGTGCTGGACAGTGGCTCTCCTGTATTCTGAGAGCACTGCTGTGCTGCTGAGAGTAGCCTTCAGTGATTGCATCAGCTTGGTCCTGGGCTTTAGCCCACTATGACTGGGGGTTTTTAGTCCACTGTTAAGCTCGGAGAATAGATTTGCACTCAGATCTCATCTTATTTTCTTCTTTACCTAGGGGGTCTTGGCCAGCTGGGAATAGGACTTGCTGGCCTTTTGAGGTAAGAGCTTCAAAATCAAGTTCTTAAGGGTGCACAGTGGTCTCTGTCAGCATTATTCATTTGTTCTCTTGCCTCTGGCCTCTTTCTGCTTCTAAGATGTCACATCTAAATATCTACTTAAAATACAATTTAGTCTGCCTCTTGGTCACGACACCAGCTCTTTGCTCTCTGTCCTACTTGGATGCAGTGAGACTCATCACCCCAAATGAATCACTTACCTTTCAGCTGTTTGGGAGCAGAGGGCAGGGCCAGTGCTGATAGGAACTGGAAGGGTCTTGTCTGGGGTTGAAGTTCGTAGGGTAAAAGAATGAAGGAGAAGAGGAAGTGCCAAGGATCTGGAGATAGCACTGGTGACCAGTGCAGTGGGGGAAGGGCAGAAGGAGAGAACCAGGCTGGGGAGAGAAAATAAGGGCTGAGCTTAGGAAGGCAAAGCTGAGGGGAATGTGACAATGACGACGAGAAAGAAGGTGACTGGAGAAGGCCCCGCAACTGCAGTGCCTATTAGAAATAACCAGTTACCTAAGACTTGTATTCCTGATGTTGCCGACTCATTGTGGGGGACGGGGGTGGGGGCTTTCTTTCCCTACAGGAGACGATTTGGGAAGGACAACGTGATCTTATCAGACATAAAGAAGCCCCCTGCTCACATCCTCCACAGTGGTAAGATAAGGATAGTCCTTGATGTTTCTCTTTTCAAAATTGAGCCACAGAGGCAGCTCAATGGAGTCCATGTATAGTCGACTCAAAGAGGGATTTGGGCACGGTCCTGGCTTAAAAGTGTGTTTGCTCCATTCAAATGACAAGGAACAGAAGTGCTCCATGGAACCTGAAGTTCTGGAATAAGATATCTGAATATTTCAATAATGTTTTTGGACTAAAAGCTTTGATTCCTATCTTTTGACTTTTTGGTTATCTGACTGACTTAAAGAGCCCTCAAACAAAAAGTTTGATGAGGAAAAAGAGCTTGACGAATGTGGAGAAGGGAGATGGCTTAGTGTTAAGAGCACTTTCAGAGCATCCAAGTTTGGTTCCCAGCACCCACATCAGGTGGCTCCCAAGCACCTGTAACTCCAACTCTAGGGGATCCAAGACCATCTTCTGTACCCCACAGGGACCTGCACTCACAAGCACCACCCCCCAAAATTTCAGCACCCTCTTCTGGCCTGGATGCTGGGTACCTAGATTTACACACACACACACACACACACACACACACACACACACACACGATATACATAAATAACCAGACACAGAAGCTGGAGCATGGCTGTTAAGCCAGTGCTCAGGAGGCTAGGGCAGAAGAATCACATGGTTCCAGTCCAACCTAGGCTACAAAGCCAGGTTATGCTTTCCATAAGGAAGCTTGGGGAGGGAGGGCGAGAGAGGATGAAGAGATTTTCTCAAGTCAGTGGCAGGGGCCAGAAAATCCACTTAGCTTCACTGCAGCCCTTCTTGCTCTGTGTTTATAGGCCCGTTCATTTATGCCGATATCCTGGATTATAAGAAACTCCGTGAGATCATGGTGAACCACCGGATTAGCTGGATCTTTCACTACAGTGCGCTGCTCAGCGCTGTCGGAGAAGCAAACGTGGCCTTGGCCAGAGATGTGAATATAACTGGTGAGCAGCTGGCTCTCGCCGAAAGGGGCCAGTTTTTCCTGCTCTTGGCAATGCGTCTCCGTTGCAGATTGTCATAAGTGTCCCTTCGTTTCAGGACTGCATAACATTCTAGATGTTGCAGCCGAATTCAATATGAGATTGTTTGTGCCCAGCACGATTGGAGCTTTTGGAGCTACCTCTCCTCGGAACCCTGCACCTGATCTCTGCATTCAAAGGCCCAGGACCATCTATGGGGTATCCAAGGTCCACGCGGAGCTCATGGGAGAAGTAAGCATTTCTCGGCAAGATTGCAAAAAAAAATGCTCAGGGCTAGATGAATCTATGTGTCTGACCCCATTTTTTTTTTCTGCCTCAGACACTTCCTGCTTTATTTTGGGGGGAAACGATTACACCCTTGGAGACAATTACTTAGCTGGTGTGTTATTGGTCAAGTGGTAGGCCCCTTCCATTGTAGGCACTGAAGAATTTAGCTATAGGTTTCTGCTTGCCTACAGCCGCGAAACTCCTGGCCTTGAAACCCCTCCCACCTGTGCTTGTTGCCCGACTTGTTTGCAAAGCTCTCAACTGTAATTACTGGTGAGAGTGTCAAAATCTTTTCTAAAGAGAGAGCTACAGAGACACGGGGGTGGGGAGGGCATGGGGAAGGAGAGAATATGTGGGGGACCAAGTGTGTGTATTCCCATGTGTGGAGGCCAGAGGCTCCCTCAGTCCCTCTCCATCACACATTTTGAGACAAGTTCTCTTACTAGAACCTGGAACGCGCAGGCCAGGCTTGTGGGCATTGAGTCTTCTCAGTTTCTTCAGTACTAGATTACAGGCACATGCTGTGTCCTGTTTTCTTAGACGGGTTCTGCAGACTCTAACTCAGCTCCTCGCGACTGTGCCAGAAGCACTGAGTCATCTCCCCAGCCCCGAAACTTCCTACTGTGGAAAACTTCAACCACGCTTTTACTGTTTTATAGCAAACTGTGGGTCAGTGTCCGGCCCTTCAGCTACTGGATGCCAACTTTCTCTGCAGGGGAACAAGCTTGCAGCATTCAGGGAAGGCAGGGAGCAGGAGTACCACCTGCAGGCTGCTCTATCATTTGATATCACCTTGATATAGCATCAAGATGGTGATTCTCAGAAGATAAATCATTGAGTATTATTAAAGTGAAAAACTTGGTCTTGTAAACACTTTGTGTGTATGTTGTGTGTGTATATGCACACACGAATGTACCACAGCATGTGGGGGGGGGGTCGGAGGACAAATGTGGAGTTTCTCTTTCCACCTTTATGTTGGTTCTGAGGAGCCAGCTCGAGTCACCAGGCTGTGTGGCAAGTGCCTTTCCCCACTGAGCCATCCTGCAGGTCCTAAATGTTTATTCTTCTGAAGAACATTTAATTTAACTGCATGGAGTATTTTAGGGAAAACAATTTCTTTGTTTTATCTGAACTACAGGATTATTATTATTTTTTTTTAGCAAGCTCTTTCTTTTTCTTAGTACTATTATTACCGGTATGGGTTAGATTTCCGGTGCCTGAGATATCCTGGAATCATTTCTGCAGAATCCCAGCCTGGAGGAGGAACAACTGGTAAGTGCAGTCTCCAGCCTCCTTCACCCTTAAATTCTCTTGTTTTGGGGAGACCCTGCTTCCTCCGTAAACTGGCTGCCTTAGTTTCCCTGTATTTAAGAGAAATTGGGAAGTAGAGTGTTTTTTATCTTGCTGGCTCCCAAAATGTAGTTACCAAAAGAAAAATTCTTTTGTTACAATAGTAAATCTTGAGATAGCCTATACTATTCATATCTTTTGGGGGAAGTCTTCCATTTTTAATAGTCTAAAGAGTTTCTGGATTAAGAGCACTGGCAACTCAGACCTGAGCCTCCTCACTCCGGCTGCCATGGATGGGGTTCTCTTTCAGACTACGCAGTCCAGATTTTCCAAGATGCAGCAAAGAAAGGCACATTTGAGTGCAACCTCAAGGCCAGCACCAGGCTCCCCATGATGTACATCAGCGACTGCCTCAGGGCCACCCTGGAAGTCATGGAGGCCCCTGCAGAGCGCCTCTCCATGAGGACCTACAACATCAGCGCCATGAGCTTCACCCCCGAGGAGCTGGCACGGGCCATCGTTAAGCACATACCCGACTTCCAGATCACCTACTGTGTGGATCCCCTCCGGCAAGCCATAGGTAGGCCCCCACGCCAGCCCCCTCTAGTTCGCAAATGGATTTGAAAATCCCCACGCCACTCAAGTGAGGAGGCTTTAAGACTGAGGATCGCGGCGGTCCGTTCACAGATGCTTCCGTGTGGGGAAACGGGTCTTCGGGAGAAAGGTTCCAGCTCAGGAAATAGTCCGGCACCATGTCACCTTTGCACAATTTAATGAAGCCGGGAGGAACAGATGAAATCAAGGCAGTGTGCAAACAAGTTTGGGCCTTCCTATGGTGTTATTGTTATCCATGGCCTGGAACACCCTTCTGGATATAAGAATGTTCCCTTACAAAGCCATGTGAGGTTTTAATAATATGAAAACCCCAGTGCAGGTACCCAATGGCTTCTGAAGAGGTGGCCCTGCATGTACGAGGTCTGTTCCAGTCAGAGACTGTTAGGGTCGGAGAGAAGCCCCAAAGAAGACCAACAGCCCATGTATGCAATAACAAGAGTGCCTTATTAATTCCAACATTGGGGTGACACTTGGCAACCCCCAAAGGCGGTCACAGACTCCTTTTAAGCAGAGTTAGGGGAATTCCAGAGAGGAGGGATTAATCTGGGGCTGATTGGTGGAGGAAAGATTAGTCTGGGGGCTGATTGGTGGGAGGTCCTGGTGGTTAGGGACCTTCCAACAGCAGGGTAGGGAAAGCTACCTTTACTTATCAGGACTGGGGAGGGGTTGTTGAGCCAGCAGATGGGGCCTTGAGGAGCCTGCTGAGCTACCAGAAGGCTGTGGTTTTTCCGAGGACTGTCTTTAGCTCTGTCCCATTTTAGTGACCCAGAACTAAGGCTTAGATTGCTGTCAATCTTTAGGAAAGTCTGGTCTGCCTCCCCCTCCCCCACCCCAGTTCTCTCAGAGATGAGATTTTCTTTTCTGTGACTTCATATAAAACCCAAATACAGAGCCTGGATAACTCACTGTTCTTTTCTGTGTCTTGCCGTAGCTGAGAGCTGGCCCATGAAACTAGATGACAGCAATGCCCGTATGGATTGGGGCTGGAAGCACGACTTTGATCTTCCGCAGCTGGTGGCTACAATGCTCACCTTCTATGGAGCCAGCACCAGATGTGCCCAAGCGAACTGAAGGAGGAGAGCAACTCCCGCGCCCCCACAGTGCAAGAGGCTTCTCTTAGTTGGAGAACTAATTGGATGGAATTCGGGCAGCTCACTCAGAACCGCTGGGTGGGGTTGGCGTTCCTTCACATGTGGCCTTTGTTGTGTGCCTAAACTGGTCTAAGCACACGTACCACAGAAATGAAGACCTAAGTGGTAGTGGCTGTGTCTTGGAATTTGCAACGTTTGTGTTTAATTAAATTCAGTTTAAGGATCACTCCTGAGACCCTCTCTTGACCGGAAACCAAAGATTACATTTTAATGATTTTCAAAGATGCTTTTCATGTTCAGAACTTTCAGACTTCATCCAAAATGATGGCTCGCAGGTAACTTTTATTTAAGATTTATCTTTTTGCTTGAGATTAAGAGTATGGAAGATGTTGCAGTTCATAAAGGGCATGAGTTGTGTGGGGTTTGCTTCCATTTAGGGCTGCAAGAAAGCTCAGTGATGTCTTTGGGACTTTTAATTCCCTGACCTGGTGACATCAGCAACCCCAAAGAGACTGTTGAAATGCATGTTTCTGGGCTTCACCCCCTCAGACCGACCCAGCAACGTGGAGGAAGCTGGCTGTGACCCAACCCTCTAAGACAGGCTCCAAACACAGCTTCTAAAGACTGCCATCCTGTGATAGTAGTGAATCCCACCAACAGGGAGGCTGGTCAGTTCCTGCTGGCACACCTGGCTACCTGCAGAAATCGCCAGCAAGAGGAACTTCCAGTCCCACAACCGTAGTCAATAATAGCTGCACTTCTCCATAGGTTGGTGATGGTAAATTATTACGCATTTAGATTTTAAAGTCCTAGGTTGTGGCCTGATTTTTTTTTTTTTTTTGAGTCTTAACTGGATTTGAATCTTTAACTAGAGAACTTTTAGATAATTGAGTTTCAATAGCTACAATAGCATAGTCTATCTCTCACACACTTAGTATAATTAAGCTTCACATTTGGGGCTTTTTGTTTCTGAAAATCTTCTTTACAGATTTATTGAGTTCAAATGCCATAAAATTTGTAATTTGGGATCTGGAGAAAAGTCTCAGCAGTTAAAAGCACTGGCTGCTCTTGTAGAGGACCTGAGTTCAGTTACCAGCATCCACATGGCCGCTCATAACTTTCTGTAACTCCAGTCCCGGGGGATGTGACACCCTTTTCTGACCCGTAAGCACCAGCGCACGTTTGTATGCAAATGGTACGCGAAAATACTCATTCATGTAAAAATAAATAAAACTTAAAATGTATATTGTTTGTCAGCCTATTATAGTTACAGATTTGGTAACAAAAGAGAAACTATGTGTAATTCCCCTTTCTGTGAAACAGCAACTATCTTTCTGTGTCTGCATGGGGAATTCTGAATATCTCATGCAACTGGGTGTAGCCATTAGCGAAGACCCTCAGCTTTGTTAACCTGTTAGGCATCTATCATCCTGTCAGACTGTTACACAAATTTCAAGTTCACTCCTGATATTAAAGTGTATTTTCAGTTGCTTAACAGCGTATGATTTTGGTTGTGTAGGAAAGTATAAGTCTGAAGTTCATGAGTAATCTTAGAAATCTATGTGCATGGTGAAATTCAAGTAACATGAGTGAATAAATACAATGAGAAGGATGCCCCTCACCCTCTGCACAGGAAACCATGACATGGTTGTGTGTGTGTGTGTGTGTGTGTGTGTGTGTGTGTGTGTGTGTGATGCTGGAACTCAGTGCTTATGCACACCAGGCAAGTGTTCTCCCACTAAGCTGTATCTTCAGCCCCATCTGCTTGTTTAGCGGCTCTATAGCTCTTCATTGGCTGGTTGAACAGACTTGAGCAGGTTGCATTATTAAGGACATGTGGACTTACAGACCTTAACCATCATAAATGGAGCTGTAAGAAAGATTGTTGCAAATACATCCCACTTTCATTGTCAAAGGAGCCAAAATCTACATTGAAGTAAACAGTTTTTGCATCCAACTAACTCTTAAGCCCTGCTCCAGCCAACCTGTTTGCTGCTTGCTGCTACACCACTCCACCATGGTGCCTCTGAAACTGTAAGCCCAAAACAAACCTCTCTCCTAAGTTGCTTTGGTCATGGTCGTTTATCATAGCAATAGAAAACCAACTAATACAGGGCCACTTCAGAAGTTGTTGGAAATTCTATCTTAATCCCAAACCACAATTCAGCAAACCATATTTTTTTTTAAAAAAAAATGAAATTCAAACAGCAATTTTAAAAAGAAAACGTCCTAATGCAATCCAATTCAAAGATACTCTACTCTGATACTAAACGTGCCTAGGCCTGATAAAAGGAGGACACCAAGAGATTCTGTTTCCTGTAATTAAGTCATTTTGTTTCTGCAGCAGCAGAAAACCATTGTGTGGGCTGGAACGTGCCGCAACTCCTGAGGTTGGGCGGCCTCAGTCTGAGCCGTGTTTCCTGCAAGACCCTGCATGGAGTGATGGTCACAGAATGCAAGGTGCACGTGCCCATCAGAACCATAGCCGTGGTGAGGCTCTGTGACACAATGTGGTGAACTCTGCCAGGAACACCATGGGTTCACTCTGGGTCTGATTTTGAATTAATTTTTGGTTTTTATCCTATACGGAAACGTTTTGCCAGTAAGAAAATTTTCGAAACTTCCCCATTCAGGTTTCGGCCCACAGGGTAAGAAGCTGGGGGCTGAGGTCCGTGTCGGGCCTTTGGCATATCACGGCGTAGGGAACCCACAGTAAGTTGGTGGCTTTTTAAGTGCTGGGTGACCTAACAGCCTGTTCTTTCTTTGCTTCCCGCTCACATCCTTGAACATGCTTACTGGGCTCACTAGAAACCTACATTGTCTCCAAACTGTGGAAATCTGGTTATAGAGGTTGGATTTGTGCATATGGAAGAGAAAACAATTCTACTTACTAGGTTGCCTTGAGTTATATAATTTCTTAAGAAAAGATAACTTTTAAATTATTTTTTATTTTGTGTATGCATCTCTGTGTATGTGTTCATGAACGCAGTGCCCTCTGAGTGTTGTTTCTCTGGAGTTAGTTAGATGGTTGTGTGCCAGCATGTCTGTTCCATGCTATGAATGGAACCCAGGTCCTCTGCAAGAGTAGCCAGCTCTCCATTGACCAGCCTTAACCAAGTCCCTTTCTGCCCTGATTCCCAGCTGCTGGCAATGCTTTGAGTTTGACTCTGCAGGGTGAACCTCCTCCCCGGCCCCTGAAGCTGCGATTCAATCCTGGAGTTCAGAATACACCCGCACTTCATTTTCCCAGTCCCAAAGTGGAAAGCTGTATACATTAAAAAAAAAAAAAATCTGTAAAGTGTGTAAGTTATGAAACATAAAAATAAATGAAATGGCCCAAAACTTCCACCTGTACTTAGGAATTGCTTGTTTGCATACCACGGCCTTCTCCTCGGCCACTTTTTTGTTTTGGAGTTTGTATGGTAAAGTGAGGTTTGCTGCCATCCTCACTTCCATTTTCTTTTGCCCTTTATTTTCAAAATAACTTACCTTAAAAATATTTCTTTAGAATTATTCATTATATTTACATTAAGCAAAAATTACTTGGTTGCCTTTTCTGCTTTCTCAAGAAACAAATACCTGAAGTCTCCAGGACGGCGGTGAATTGGCTGTCTCTCCAGCCACACCGCTTGCTAAGTGTGAGCCCACCAACTCCTGAATCCCTTCCCCGCCCTATCGGCCAATCCCCGCAGGAAGCAGCTAGACGTGAGCCAGCGTCCATATATACCCAAAAAGTCTGAGATGTTCTGGTGGAAGCTCCATCCCAAGCCCCCTCCCCCATCCCTCTCCAAACCCTGACACATCAGAAAGCCCGCCAAATGATGACCCCCTCCCCAGGCATGCTCAAGACCACTCCCACAAGGTATTTATAAACTGTCCCCCAGAAAACAGACACATGCTTTTTCGTTTCTCCCTTTTCCATCTCTCTGGGGTGTTGGAAAATCACCCGGGAGCATTTTATCCATTAAACCTAGGCTTTTTCTAATTTGATTTAATTTGGTCTTGATTTGGATTGCTGTGTCAGTGGAGAGGCTCATGGAGGTGCAGAAACTTTTCAGTCTTGTCAAGAAATAGAATCTACAGTATGGATGTTCATTCTGTTAACTAGGTAAAATGTTGTGTTGGAACAATTTAAAAACATCTGTCTTTATTCCAAGAGCATGCGCACACGTGCGCACGTGTGTGTGTGTGTGTGTGTAACAGTGTCTTATTCTGTAGCTCAAGCTGACCTTGAACTAGTTAAAGTTGTCCTCCTGAATCAGCTTCCCATGTGCTAAAATTAAAAGATGTGAACCATCACACCTGGTACCTAGTTTTTTGGGAAGGGAAAAAAAGCTCAAACATTTACTAAATATTGGCCATATGCTTTGAAACTGACTTCTCCATGTTTACAAACTTCCAGAAATGAACCACATGCTGGAGTATTTATTCAGTCTTGAAACAGATGGGCAGCGGCTGCTAGGAAGAAACGAATCCTTTCTGAGAAGCTGAATCTCTCAGAAGCTGCCCCTTTAATTCTGAATTGTGGTCATGTGACAGTCCCCATAGTTGTGGAGAAAATGTTTCAAATGTGTCTGTTCAGTAAGGACAATTCTCACCTCCCTGGGGAGCATCCTTAACAGCAGAAACATTGTGCTTTTGTTTGTATGTTAAAGCATTCAGAAATAAACTAGTTCTGTCTTGCTGTCATTTTTCCCAGAAAAGCAAGAAGGAATCTAGAAAGACCTCACTCATCTTGTGCCAAAGTCACTCTTATCCCCAGGCCTGTCACCGTGAAGTAGGTTTTCTTTATTGCTCTGGAATAAAGATCACACAAGATCAACTGCACTTGTGTTGCTGCAGCCGGCTTCCCTTCACTCCGTTGTGTTTGCAAGATCCAGCCGCACAGCTGCAGAGCCACAGCCTGCCCATTTTCAATGCTGTAGTGCATCCCGGTGTACACGTGATGAAGCAGCCTCCTACAAGTCTTCTTTTCAGCCCGATGGCCATTTAGATCGTTACTGCTTAGGAGTGGTAGGCATAGGAATGCTGCGAGCCTTCTTTCTTGGGTCTGTGGTGAGTGAGTTTGGTTTCTCTTTGGCATCTCCTAGGTTTGTTGATCTGGTGTAGCAGACTGGGTTTAGCTCCACACCTGTTGCATGTTCCTCACAAGCTGTGCTCACCTGCTCCATGTCCCTGTCAACATTTCATTTTGTTGGGGTTTTAGTTTGAGCCTCCTGGTGAGTGGGTTATATAGGATTTCAGTGTGCTGTGTCTTTTTTTTCTTTTTTTTTTTTTTTGGTGGTTGAGTTCCTCTTGTGCCAGAGACCGAGCTCAGTGCTTTGTACATGTTGAGCTATACTCAGCCCCTGATTTCTATGTATACTGCACAAAAAGTACAAATTTTAAGAGCTGGCTTTTAAAAAATTTGAGGGGCACTTGATAATTTTTTATTACCTAAATAGGCCATTTTTATTATTTATTTTTAAATATGCATTAGTGTTTTGCCAGCACGTATGTCTGTGTGAGGATGTCAGGTTTTGGAGCTACAGAAAGTTGTGAGCTGTTATGTCAGTGCTGGGGATTGAACCCAGGTCCTTCAGAGGAGCTGTCAGTGCTCTTAACCTACTGAGCCATCTCTCTAGCCCCTAAATAGGCAGTTTCTTAATATATTAAAATTAATTTACTATCTTCTTATATGTGTAAGTGTTTATGGATGTGCATGTGTGTGAGAGTGTGTTTGCATTAAGTGACATTGTTCATTATGTGTATGTGCGTGCATACATGTGTGTGGGTGTGTATGCATGCAAGTAAGTGCACAACAGCTTGCACATGGAGGCTAGAACTGGCTCTTTTCACTGTAGGCCCAGACTGCTAGCCTTTGAAGTAGTCACCTTTACCTACTGCTGCATCTCTTTAGCCTAGTGGACTATTTTCATTTAATTAATTAAATTTTGATTTTCTTCTTCTTTCTTTCTTTCTTTCTTCTTTTTTTTTTTTTTTTTTTTTTTTTTTTTTTTTTTTTTTTTTTTTTTTTTTTTTTTTTTTTTT